CCCTTTTTTAACTTTTAATTAAATTTATTATACAACATAAATAAATGTCTACTTATACTTAAAAAAACACATAATTGTATTGGGATACATAAATTGCAAAGTAGAACGATATGTAGATTATAAAGTATTAGAACATATTAAAAACATGTGAAACAAGCATATAATGAGTGTTCATCTAAGTATTCAACAAGTCTCTTACAATTTATTGAAAAAATAAAATGCAAAATACAAGTTATCTATTTTTTATCAAAGTGAGAGTCGCGACTTAGGCAGGTCTTGGCGGGCGCCTAGGCAGGCAACTAGGCTGGTCTAGGAGCCTTTTCTTAATTTTCAAACACCTAAAAATTAATTGGAGTGATGACCAGGTGCCTAGCGCCTAGATAGAGCTTAAACGGAGATTTTTAGAAAAGTGATTCTAGGTATAAGCAAACATGCATGCCACTCATGTTACTGAATGAATGAAAAAGAGTATGTCATCGAATAACTAAAACTACATCAAGTAATAGGAATTTAGCAAATACACTTTCACGTAGGTTTACATCTTAAAATTTGAGTATTGGTGTAATATTATTGCATAAAGTCATTTCATTAATGGAAGACATGATTTGTAATATGCAATACGACTCGTCAAGAGGATACGAAGACTATATATAGGTCAATACAATAATCTCGAGAATAATATTAATTATTAATAATAATACAATCCATTGACCATTGGTACATTTTGCTCAGTTCAACCCTCTTCCATTCCTGCAGTGTCTCCGGTCATTTCTATCACTACCAATAACCCCATTGTTGCCTTTCTTCAAAAATATATTTCACCTTCTTTATTTATGGCATAAAAAGGAGAACGTACTCTATATAGTAAAAACAGATACTAATTACCAATTAAGGATATATAATGATGTGATCTTCCCCTTGTTATAGTCTTATAGGCATGCATAGCTGCAGTATTTTATTGATTGGATGCTTGTTTTGGCATCAATAAGAAAATGGAGGGAGATCAGGTAGGTCTTGGCTAATTAGCACCACCTGGCCTCTTTTCATGCCTGGGATTTGGTATTGGCTTTTCATAGTCTAGCATTGCATTCACTGCCACCAGCTCTCTCATCTCCATCTCAACATAAACCTTCAAGATAAACATGTATATAGAGTACAAATTAGCTATAAAATTAACCAAAATGTTTTTAAAAGAATATCTGTGCATATAAACATATTTTTTCTTGGGGAGACGTATTCTCTCCTACACACCGTTCTCTATGTTTAGTCTTTCGGCTGAATAAATAATAAAGGGACAAAAGTAAAAGAAGAGAGTGCAGAAAGAGAAACGGAGTGTGCAGAAAAAGAAACGGGAGTGTGTGGATTTCATTTCTTTTCTTCGTGCAGAAAAAGAAACGGGAGTTACCTTGCTTGACGGAGGGTTTGAAGGACTTACACCATGCTTGAAGCCTTTGACTCTGCTGCCTGCAGGAAATAAAAAATTAAATAAACACACACACACACACACATATATATATAAAATACTCATTGTAAACCTAATTAACTGATAGTCCGGTAACGCCTATATACTATATTAACATATTCTCAGACCTGAAGAAATGTCGAAAAGGAGTAAGAGAATGACAGCAAAGGTTTTGATACTACGATCCATGCTGAATGCGATGTCAGAATGGCACGCTAAGATTTGAGGAGGAAGAGGGTTGTGCTAGCTAGCTTTTATACTGTTGGTAAAGGAGATGCATCGATTCATCACTATTTTCATGGTGCAACTGCAACTTACTCCATAGTGGTGATCCATTTCTTTCCCAACCATTACGAAGTCAACTACACTAACTTCTCTTGTGTAATTATGCCCTAAACTTTTAATTAAGATACCAAATCATATATGGACTTATCCAAAAAGTTTAATAATTTATCGACACAAACAAAATTGCTTCTTGCATGCATGGCTTAACCTTCACATTTTCTCTTGTTGCTTTTACTAGTAGGATATATTGCGTCACTCGATCTATATTTTGGTATTTTTCAAACCTTTGTTTCTATTTTCTTTTCCTTTTTACCAAGCTCCATGCAACGGGGAGGTGCCACTTGGGTTGCAAAAACTTACTTGCTATTGCCATGCCAATTACAACATTTGAAAAATGGACTACAACTTTGTTAAAGTAAACAACTATTTGAAGCTGTTATTGGCAGGGTCGTCATTCGCACTCATTCCTAGTGTTCAAACCCCCTTCGAGCGCTTCTCGAGCTTTCTCTTTCTTTCCTCGAGTAATGTTTGAACACTCCTTGAACGGTTAAAATTCTCAAATTATATTCTTAGAATCTTAAGTAAGCTAGTCTCTAACGTGTCGAAAATTTGACCAGTTTTCAAACTTTCAATTACTATTAGATTAGTAACCGTTGCTTTTCATCTGTTTTCTTGCTCATCAACTGAAGTTTCCAACTTATGAACTATTGCCAAAGCATTTAAAGGGCTAGATTACAAGCACCTTAATTTGGTATTCGCATTGAAAATAGAGAAAACGCCATGGTTACGGTAAATGTACATCGAATCAATAGCTTACATTAAAGGTGCATTCAATCAATCATTCTATAGGTGGACAATAATTTCAAAGATTTGATTGAGTGAGTGACCCCTTGTACTATGCAGTATGCACAATCAGAAGAACAGCTGAAACAGTTTGCCTTGATTTCCACTATGGGAGGCTTGAAAGCACTCTTGAAAAAAGCACTTTCATATGCATCTATATAGGTGCATCCATGGCCATTGACCCCCACCCCCTTTAGTAGTATATGCATGTGTGCCCTTCTTTAGCTTAATTTGTCCTCTTTTCAACTTGCTGCAGATCATACATCATTAAATTATTGTTCATCTTGCATGCTTACAACTTTATCACAAGTAACAATAATTCTCCACATATATATGTATATTTCTTCCTATATCTTGCAGTTGCATGCTAGCTTTTCTCTTTCTTCTGTGATAGTTCATATTGTACAGTAATAAGCAGACTGCATTTTCTCAAGGTCCCAATTAGGAGAGTAAAGGAATGATCTAAAAATGCAGAGATCCACTTCATTTTGCTTACTATATATCAAAATCAAATGATGATATTTGAATATGTCATCTCTCATTTTAAAGTGGACCGTACAACTCTCAACTGAACCATCTTTTTCGATCATTGTTTGGTGTACTAAAAAGACGGTCATGGGTTTGAGCCTTGGCACAATGGAAAGATAGTTTTTTTGTGACCAAAATGTCATAGGTTCGAGTCGTAAAAACAGCCTCTTTGCAAAGTAAGGGTAAGGCCGTTTCCACCAACCCTCCCAAAATGGAGAAATTGTTGGCTTGAGATCGCCCTTCTTAAAAAGACGTCACATGATATTAATTATCATTCTACTCAAATTATAACCTGTAAATTTTCTTTTCATTAAACATGTTTTTCATCTTGATTATAATACGTGAAACACACCACATAATTTGTGTTTCCTTTATCTATAAAAAATTCCTCCTCTCTTTCCCTCAGAAACTAGCACCAATCACCACACTGTTCTGTGTCGGCAGCACAATATGTGAATCAAATTCTCGATGTTTGATGATGAATCTCAAACAGAAGAGCCAACTTTTTTCATAGCTGACTTTGTTGATTCAATCAATTTGGATGAACTCACGTCTACAAAGGTGGGTGACGAGAGTGCTCTATCAATATGCATGCTTCTGCTGTCTTAGATAAATAAAGGGCGACAAAGAGAAGAGATTCATGAGTCCTTCTCCTGCTTTTTTCCATCAGAATTCAGATGACCAACACTTGTCCTAAACATATCTCGTGATGGAGTGGGCCTGAAGAATATAAATAATCTCTCTTGTGCTGTGGAATATACCAGCTACATCAACATTTATTCATGTTGAAATGCAAGAGTTGATAACCACCATACAATTAATATGTGCACCAAATCTATATGTGATGCATATTTGAGGAGTGTTAGATCAATCGCGCACATGCACTTGCAGATGGTACTTATGATGATTTGATTGTTCTTGCTCTATGAGTAATTTACGTATAAAAGATGAGATTCATTGATCTTAGCATTGTTTTTTTTTTTATTATTATTATCAATCGTTGTGGCACATAATATCACAAAATTAGATATTATGACAAATAAATGAAACAATTTCATATATGTTGAGGTCAAGAATTTAAAATTTAGGGTTTACTAAACTTTTATACCTTTTGAAGTTTGGAGTATTTACAAAATAGGTCATAAAGTTTTAGTTTTCTCATTTGCATTGTAAGGTATTGAATTGTATCAGTTTATACATGTGGTCGGAATGGTTGTAGGATCCATCATATAATTGACGACATGATGAGTACCATATCCTTATTCGTGTCAACTTGTAGGCCATATTTGCACCAAATTGACAAAATAACTTTTCAATTTAATACAGGATTAGATGTTCAAGAAGGCAAAACGTATAAATTGATACAATTTTGCAATATGAAAAAATTAGAACTGCATGACCCATTATAAAAATCACCTCAAAACTTAAGGGGGTAAAATGAAGTTAGCTCTAAAGTTTATTTATTCTCCTCTCTAACTCCTTTTATATTTACAACAATTTTTTGTGCCCTTTGAACCATCGGTTAAAGCACGATGTGTGCATCACTAATTTTTTTGAAAATGACAGTCATAACATGTGAATAAAATGTTCTTAAAAATAATGAATATAAAAGCTATAAGCATTTGCCTTTCGAGCTGATGGCGAAAACAGAAACACTTTGCACACCAGGTAATGATATCAACATCGATAGCTATTTCGTTTTTAGTATTTGGTTTTTATTGAGAAAAGCATATGAAGAACATACGAGTTAACGGAAGGTGGTGGGAGTGGGTAAAAATAGTTCTCATTTTTCTTTCCTTGTATATTTCTTCTACAATTTACGTTTCAATCTGAGGCCAGGCAGGTTCGAGCATTTTGGCCCCAACAAAAATTAACACTGAAATTTCACGATAAATATCGGCTTTAAGTAGAAAAAAGATTTTTAATGTTTGAATTACAGTAGAGCTAACGATAAGCCAACCATTCTTAAAATATGAGGAAGGCAATGATGCTTACAAATTTACAACACAATGTATCAACTCTCTGCAGAAGAACTATAATTAACAGAATTATCGACGGGAAACTGACGCATTACTACGTATTCACATCAAACGAGGAACAGGGGGTGTAAGAATATAACATTTGTTATGAATGATGAAAGTGGTAGATAATCGGTCCCTAACAATATGCAGAAGCCATTCCAAATTTCGCGACATCTGAAAGGGAAGTGGGAGACCGACGTGTATCAGGCATTGCATCAACTTCTAGCTTGGCTCGAAAGGCATTGGCATCAGACATTTGCCTCACAAAACGAGTAAAATGGACCCAGTTATGAAATTCGAACATGTTCTTGTCCATCCTCACAAAGTTGAACGAAAAAGAGGGTTTTTCTAGACCAGATGAGTAATACTTTGACATCCTTACCACCTGTTGAAGCGATTGGTTGTCCAATCTGGCTGCAGAAGTTTCACCTTCCAAGGGTATATCACATACCCTAGCAGCTGAGAGCAGCTGTCTGAGAAGGCTTTCCGGGCTGCTGACTGCGTTCATCTTCCTCTCTTCCACATCTTGCAATTCAAAACATGAGCAGCACAAAGTAAAGCCGTACTTTGCCAACATGCGAACAATTGGTAAGTATCCATCTCTTGTTGAAGTATTGTAATAGCCAGCTGTTAACTCTGATGGGTGAGATTTAGTGCGATAATGCCAGTGCATCCCAGCTAATTTTACTGACGTACTAGCCTCTGTACCCCGGAAAATGGTCTCGGCTTCCCTGCATATCCTTTCTCCATGCAGAAGCAGCATTCCCGAGTACCATTCAAGAAAAAATGTACCATATGATGTATTCCAGGATCCATCATCACTTCTGAAGAACTCTGTCAGTTCAGGATCCTGCATCAAATTGGCAGCACCAATAGGGCCCCCATTTCCCCATTCGGGAATCCCAATCTCTCTTGCACATGCATTGAGAGATGCAAGCATATACTGGCCAGAAAATTAAAGAGAAAACTGGATCAATACAGGGGAAAATAATACGATTATCAGGTCAAATTAATAGCAACGAAGGTCACTAGTGCATCCTCATTCAGGCATAGACAGAAATCCAAGTATTAGCTAGTAAATGAAGTTTAGCATTCCCTCCTACCTTGTCATAACACTGAAACTCTCCAAGCTCACGAGATCGCCAAGCCCATGTTAACTTCTGGATAGGGCAGGAAGGGTATCTTAATTCACCAGCAGGACCCATCCCAACTCGAATTCCCTGCAAGAGGAGATCGCTTAATTTAACTTTTGAGGATTATACAAATATGACTACAGCCTTGATGTGCTCAATCATTCAGTTCGTATTATCTTACTGTTATGACAAGACCAAGAAAAGGTCTAAAAGTGTCTCTGAAGTTCCTCATAAAATCTGCATATGCTTGGACTGGTGAACGTCCCCGCAGAACAGGAAGCATATCACACCCGAGAGAAAGGTATTCCACATTTCTTCTTCCAAATCTGTCAGAATATACTAAATCTGGATCCCTATCAATCTCCTCCAGTACCCACAGAGGAAGATGAATCCTTCAGTGCACAAAAGGACAAGATTCAGCATCCAAGTAGGTAATAAACTAGCCAACAGAACATTCATGAAAAACGCGGCTAATGGCAGTGGCACAGCTCATGCTCTTAAAAATCACTCACCTCATAAGTTGTAAATGATATGTAAGAAGCAAATAAAGTTCGGTGAAACAGCACAACAAAATGCCAGAGAAGGTACATCAGCCAACTGGTCTTAATTGCTACCTTTAAGTCTTGAGCTATATCTTAAAGTTCCACGAACATCAAGCAATCTGTGCCCATGTAAGTAATAATTCATTTGATCCAATTACGAGGACACTCAAGACATCTCCGAAGATCTAAAGACTAGAACGAATATCACCCGCGAATTGTTTACAATACTATGGACTTTAGACTTTAATTGGTAAATCTCAATCTTCAAACGATTACAACCAATGAATCTGCCTTAGATCATTTATTATCTCAAATCTTCAAACAATTACAACGAATGAATCCGCTTTAGATCATTTATTATCGCGGAGACACAATCAATAAAGATTAAAAGAAAACCGCTGCGGATTTTCCTGGAACCAATGAATCCTTATAGGGTGACAAACCATTCATTTCATATTTCAAGTTCAAGATTTGCAGTATACCCAATCCTCAAAAAACACAATTGGCCAAAACAAAGAATACAATACAGAATTATACTGTTTAATTGCTGTATTTAAGATTCCAAACAGCAAGCAAATTAATCCCATTAAAAAAAATGCATATCCAATACAAATAAAGAAAACGCAGTAACTAAAGACCAATTAGGCATATAAATAACACGATTAAATTAAGTTAATTGAAACCTGAGAACACAAATACAAAACTAACCAATGAGAGTCCTCCGGCCCAGTGCCGCACTGATGAAACGCCAAGACGGCCCGAACCTTCAACCCGCAGCGTCGAGCCAGAGAGACGATCTCCAAGTAGCCTTCCCAATTGTAAAGCATGGGCTGATCCCTCTCCACCAGGCCCCACCACACCTCCATGACCACGCCTTCCACTCCGGCCGCGGCGAGGGCCTTCAACGACTGAACCATGGCCTTGGGCCTCCGGACCGCGCCCCGTGTCCCCACGGAATCCACAGGCAGCGTGACGAACACCGGCGATCCTCTCCGGCGACGCTGCTGAGAGAAGCCGTGGAAGAGCTCGTACTGGAGGTCGCCGTTGTCCGGCGAGACCGAGCCGCCGCCGGCGGAAGATTTGGACGAGTTAAGCCGAGCGGAAAGGGCGAGCCGACGAGTTAGGGAGTGAGGTTTGGGTCGGTAAGCGGGGGAGAAAATGGAAGGGATGCGAGTGAAGGTGGAGGGAGACTCGGTACGGGTGCGGCAGAAGGAGGCGGAGAAGGTCGGAGGGGATGAAGATGCGATCGCCATTGATGGAGGCTCGGGCCTTGGGGAATCGAAATAATGGTGGTGTGTGGTGGTTTTGTTGGGAGAAATGAATGAGCGAAGGTGAGAGAGTGACGGAAATTGCGTTAGCGGTGCGAACGCGAACGCGAACGCGGGTGTAGGTACTCACTCCCACGTCCCACAGCCACAGGGGGCGAGAGGGGAGAGAGACAGAGAGAGATACTACCAAATTATCGCATTTTCGGGGAATATGGGCTTTTGTTATTAGGCCGATTTGTTTCTTATCGGCTATGCCGACATGCCTATAATATCCAAGCCCATATGTTTCTTATCGGCTATGCCGACATGCCTATAATATCCAAGCACCGATCTAAGTGGAAGTATCCATACGTAAATATATGAAAATATTTATGAATATTAGGTCGAAATTACAGAAAATTTTCTTTAAAATTTATCAAGGGTTTGAAATCTACAATGGGTTTCGACGAATTTTATATGGTGAATCAATGAATATCGTCGATATTCAATGTTTTCCTATACCTCGCTAATATAGGGTGAAGTTTTCATTTTAACCCCATTTCCATATTGATCATTGATTTTTTAGATATTTTGACAGAATTATCGACAATTTTGTAGATATTTTAAGCATTGGTCCAAGTTGATGTTGTAATTTGGTTTTTTGATAACCAACAACAATTGCATGTGTCAAAAACTCACGTGTTATAGTATGAATAGACGATAAATACAGACGGTTTACTGTTTGGGTATCATCAGTAGAGGGCTTATATAAGATTGACTTACTATTAACGTGGCATTCCAACCCATATATAATGTCATGTGTAAATTCTTTCTAAAAGACATTACATTATTGAACCAAAACGTTGTGACAATAAATCTATTTCATATAAGTTGCTCTTCAAAAGTTGAGCAAGCGAGTAATTGGCAGTTTGGCATATTCGGGCGTTATAAATTCACCAAGTCACACTTGGAATTATACTTTTATTTGTACCTAAATTTAAATTTTCGGTCGAAACGAGTCTCGGTCGTTTTGGTCGAGTGTGATATTTGGACACGACTCTGCATCGTCGGCTTATATGTTCTTGGCCGCTGGATAGAGAAGTTGTTAAAATAATTTCCAATTTTTATTGACAGATAATATAATGATTTAATCGTTGTAATTATCTATTAATAGCGACTGGAATTATCTTGACATAAGCAAGGATACTTGGATAAAGAAATCTGGAAGCATCAAATTGTATAATTTCGTGAGTGAGCTGTTAGAAATTATATATTATAATTAATATTATAATATTTAGTTTTTGTATGAATGAAAAATATAGTCGTGTGTCATAGTTGAATTCAAATTCATGAGTTGTATCTGTTCGTTGGAACTTTAGACAACAGTCATATTGTTTCAAAATTGATGGCTTGAGTTCTATATAAACTCAAGCATCCCACCTGTCTAATAGAAAAAAAAAAAAGTTAATTCTTACTCTTGAGAAATAGGGTTTCCCCACTCTATTTCTCTCATTCTTCGTTTGTCTTCCGAGTCGTATCTTGAGAGTACTGAATATATAAAGTTCGCCAAAGTCCGAAGATTGAAGTGCTTTGACTTCGGATTATAGATTGTTGAATCTTGAGAGACAGATGCCTACCGAACTACAAGTACAAGAATATGGACGAAATTCTGTCTTTAGAACATTACATTTATACAAGCCTCAATCTCCAAGTTTGTCAGTATTTCTAACTTTCTCCCTATTTGTTTATATTAATTTTGTATACTATTGCTGTTGCGATTTTCTTTATCATTATTATTATTGTAATTCTTATGTTCTTTTCATATTTTCTAATATTGTTCCAACAATCTAAAGACATAATCTTTATGGAACAATTAGAAGATATGGATGTGAGAAATCTAATAACGTAGAAAAACTGACATCATAAGATATTGAACGAGTCTAGCCATCATTTGGAAGAAAGAAACACTTCTCTAATATATTTGCAGGTTCCTAAGATCGATGTGCATACACACACACACACACACACACACACACTCACACACATATGTATGCTGCTATAAATACATTTGGAGAAAAGGTAGTTATGATTCTATGTGGCTTCCTTTTATTGATCTAGTTTGAGACACACGGTTAGATAAACATATATGATACTCGTTGTGTCAATTTTGTCTACTTAGATTCAAGATTAAATACTTGAGTTTCAAAATGAGTGAAAATTATCTGGAATTAAACTCTAAAATCATAATTACGTAGTTACAACTTTTCAAATTGAAAAGTTGGTTACTCAATGAAACTGTATGCAACTCTACTAATATGCTTTGATCAGTTTACAGTTTGTATCTCTGGCCAGATAAAGAAACAAATTGAGAACCCATGTATGATTTGAACTGAGTTCGTACGGAAAGGTACGATCGTTTCGATCGTAGGGTCATGGATTTGGTTCATTCAAACTGTAACAATTCGGCTACTGGTTATGGAGATGATGGTTCTTTCTCAGACTGTAACCTTCGATAGTTGTGATGGTGCCCTTTGAATAGCCTCATTTTGGCTTGTAACAATTCGGTTACTGGTTATGGAGATGATAGTTCTTTCTCAGATTGTAACCTTCGGTAGTTGTGATGGTGCCCTTTGAATAACATCATTTTGGCTTCGTTATTTGAGTAGATGCACATATCTTTGGGTGAAAAGCCATCATATGATGTTTGTTGCTGAAATCGTAAAGACTTCCACAAATGCTTGAAGCGGTGCTTCATGCATATAGTTGTTCTGATGTAACCAGAAGGCAAGCAGAAATATGACAATGGTCAGAATGTCTTGTCCTTGTATATAGTCATGGGAAGTTCTTGATCTTCAATATGCAAAGAAAAGTACGCTTGTGGGCACTGCATGTATATATAAGTACGTATTTTCCATTTTTGAGTTTGCCTTTAAGGCACTCTTTTGATAGGATTTGTCTATGGATGCAAGTTTGATATCTAATTTTTTTTTTTACTAAACACAATTTCATGAAAAGGCATTCGGTGCTTTTGAATCATTTTCGATTGGTGTAGTTGGTGGTTCTGGCAAGTTCATAATCATTGTTTGGTGTGATCAAATGAATTGATTTGCATATACCACATATCTCTTAGGCCATTTCATATGAATGTGAATATGGGCGTTGCAACATTATTTTTTTTATATATTAGAGGCCTCTATCAATATTGGCAAAAAATGTTGTATCAAGAAGCTTTTGTACATGCGGCATCAAAAGTGATGTTCCATTAGTCAAGGCATAAAGCTTCATTATTTGTGATGAAGTTGCTCTCCTCTTAGTAAGATGACTATTAAATTGTGGGGGTCAAGACCTATGTTGAAGGAAATAAAGAGACTTCAAAAGTATTAGAATATTTTGCATAGTCACTTTGATAGGCCAAAACCTTAACTCAAAAGGGAATGACATTCCCTTTGTGAGGGTTCCAAATCCATCATCCATGGCAATTTGAAAGTAGGCTAAGGATGAAAGCCAAGAAGGGCTTTGTCTAGAATTGTGTGGTGAGGCATATTAAGGCCTAAGATGATAGATAGAGTCTATATATAAGAAGATAGAGTCTATATCCTAATAATTTCCTACCTTTTAAACTACAAAATGTGATCAATTCAACGATAAATTTAAGAATTAACCACAATTATGAAAGAATTGTGGAGGTCGCTTATTTATCTTTGAGATATGAGATTTGCATAAGAAGAATGGAAATGTAATTTGCTAATTGAGTGAGACAATCAAAATATCATCTCTTGTAATGAGTAATTGTTTAAGGTAGGGACCATCTTACAAATACCTTAAATGTGGGGGAAGTCCATTTCCTAGTGTTAGCAAATTACTTACCAAAGTCCCAACATACATATGTATATACACACACACACACACACACACACATACTTTTGAGGACTCAAATTTGAGAAACAACTACTCTCATATAAAATATAATTTCATAAGATAGATTGTGCACACCATTAAAGATAATCAACTTTAGTGGTACCAATTATTAACGGTTTGACTAGAGTAAGTTGATCATTGAGGGGAATGAGGCTAAAGTCAACATAACTAATGAATCAGCCAGGCGGAAACCTAACTTAGTAGATTGTAGATCCCATGGTCTAAGTTCAATAGGCAAGCTACTTGAGCATGATTCAAAGAAGTTAACACACTATATACCGCATTCCTATGATGGAAGAAGTGTGTTGTATGCAGAAGTTTTAGGGTGTATATTTACACTTAATGACAGTGATATCTTATAAATAAGAGGAATAGAGCAGACTATTCTTAATCAATGGTCACCTATGTGAGAGTAGAAGTTGGTCGCTTCTATGAGTATGAGATGGCTAAATTTTCTAAAGCTCTCATGAATTCAAGATTTGTTCAGGACCAAAATAAGCACAATCATATGAACCGTAATACATTAGTATTAATTATGTGTGTTGCTTATTGTCTTGGTTTACTGCTGCGGTAAACAGTTCAAGATTCCATATCCACTGCATCACCAAGTAAATCCGATAAGTATTCACTAGGGTAGGTTCAAGTCCAAAAAACACTTCTCCCGATGCATCTCTTGTCTGCCTGTACTCTCAAATTCTTCCTAATTTTTCATTCATGTGAGGGATTGTTGGAAATTATATATTATAATATTTAATTTTTGTATGAATGAAAAATAACAGTCGTGTGTCATAGTTGAATTCAAATTCATGAGTTGTATCTGTTCGTTGGAACTTTAGGCAACAAACATATTGTTTCAAAAATGGTGGCTTGAGTTCTATATAAAGTCAAGCATCCCACCTGGCTAATAGAAGAAGAAAAAAAGTTAATTCTTACACTTGAGAAATAGGGTTTCCCTACTCTATTTCTCTCATTCTTCGTTTTTTTTCGGAGTCGTGTCATGAGAGTACGGAATATATAAAGTTCGCCAGAGTCCGAAGATTGAAGTGCTTTGACTTCGGATTATAGATTGTTGAATCTTGGGAGACGGACGCCTACCAAACTATAAGCATAAGAGTATGGGCGAAATTCTGTCTTTAGGACATTACATTTATGTAAGCCTCAATCTCCAAGTTTGTTAGTATTTCTCACTTTCTCCCTAGTTGTTTATATTAATCTTGT